GTTCGGCTACTGTCCCTTAGAATAATGCCTTTGAAATTCCTGCCTGTTCATCTGTCTGCGCTGTGTCTCTTCTCACCTCTTGTTCATAAGGAAACATACCACTTTCCTTGTGGAGGTACCACAATTTGTGGATCACCCAGGATTTTGTCTGACAAAAGATACTATTTTCAAAGAATGTATTTCTTCATACCCAGTATTTGTGCTTTTATAATCTATGTGTCTGTTCTAATTGTGATTAGAGGGCATTCCTGACTTGTTTTGAAAATTTTGGAAATGGTATTTGCTGTAGACTTTTGGTAAACACTATTTTTTTGGGTGAAAGAGATTACCTGCCAGCCAGAGAGTGCACAGCTTCTTTTTTTTTTTAATGAATAAGTACTGAATTTTATCAAATATTTTTCTCTACCTATTGAGAACATCACATGAATTTTAGTTTCAGTTTTTTCATGAGATCATTTACTGATACTCATTATTAAACTGTTCTTACATTTCTGAGATAAGCATATTGGGTTATGGTGATGCTGTCTGTGTTGCTGTTTATAAGTGAGATTGGTGATTTTTTAATTTTGTGCTGTCCTCATCTAACCTATAGAGTGGAGTGCTTAGCTTATTAAGTTTCCCTCCTTACTCTCATCTAAACATGGGAATTTAAGGCCATAAAATTTCCTCTACCAACTTAGCTACGTCTCATAAGTTTTGATGCAGTGTTTTCATTATCTTACAGCTTCAGTATTTTCTAAGCTCCCTCATTGTACCTTTTTGGATTTCAAGGTCAGAGTTGTGTTTTTAAATGTTAAAAAGCATTGGCTTTTAATTATTGATTTCTATCTTCATGGCCTTATGACCAGAAATCATGAGCACATGATATATAGGCTTTTGATTATTTTATACATGTGACATGTTTGTGACCTTATACATAGTTTATTTTAATGTTTTCTCTAATCTTTGTTTTTGCATATTTTATGTTCAGTTTTCTCTTTCCTTAATAGGATAGTGTTTTTTCACATTATCTAATGTTTATCAAATGCGCCTTTTTCAAAATCTCATTATGATTGTCAAGTTTTCAATTTATTTTTTTAGACTGAACCATATGAAATTACTGTTATTTAACAGTTAATAACCCACAAGAGTGGCAGTTTCAATTGGTTCAGTCTAATAAAGTGGAACCACTCTGGAGGGATATTTCCATTCCTGGGGCACCCAGATTCTCACAGAAACACAACTCTTACTGAAGGTGGGTTCATAGTCAAATATTAATATGTACCCAGTGTGTCTTGAGTAATGTTTCTTTAAGACTCCGAGTCAGCAGACCTGATAACAGGAGAATCAGTGCTAACTAATATTGCTAATACTAAAACAATTTCAGAGAGACCAAAAAAAGTATGTTTTAAGGAGACTCTTGGAGCACAAAAGGCAAAAATGGTTAAGAGCAACCTAAAATCACAAGGAAAGAATTACACTAGTGTGAAAAAAGAATAGAGATAATTTACAAAATGATTCAATAGAGTGCTTAGATATTAAAAGTGTCAGTGAGGTCCCATTTGTTAATTTTTGCTTTTAATTCTATTGCCTGGGCAGAACATTGCTGAGATTTATGTCAGAGAATATTTTGCCTATGTTTTCTTCTAGGAGGCTTATCATGTCTTGTCTTATGTTTAAGTCTTTTAGCCATTTTGAGTTTGTTCTTGTGTATGGTGAGGGAGTGTTCTGACTTCACTGATTCACATGCTCCTGTCCAGTTTTCCCAACACCACTTGCTGAAGAGATTCTCTTTTCTCTGTTGTGTATCTTGCCTCCTTTGTCAAAGATTAATTGACCATAGGTGTGTGGGTTTCTTTCTGGGCTCTCTATTCTGTTTCATTGATCCATATGTCTGTTTTTATGCCAGTACCAAGCTGTTTGGATTACTGTAGGGTAACTTAGACACAACTGCAGAGAGTGAATAGAGTAGAAATCACTCAGCATGCAGGACAGAGAGATGAAAGAGATGGAAAGTGTAAATATTGTTAAGAACACAGAATATAAGATAAATATCAAATACGAGTTTAGTAATAATTCCTAAATGAGATGATAGAGCAAATGGGGATGGGGCAATATTTAAATAAATAGCTAGTAATAATTCTCCAGAAGAGGTGAACGGCGGGACTTGTCAGATTGAAGAAGCGTGTTGCATTCCAGCAAAAAATTGAAAGGAAATTCATACTTTGAGGCATAAGAGTAAAACTGCCTAATTCCAAATGCAAAAAGGAGGTTTTAAAACCAGAGAGAAAAGACAGACAACCTATGAGAGGAGAACAGCCAGACCGACAGCAGTAAGATGGAATAGGAAGGGGTGGCACAGAAGATTCTCCAGCTGGCTGAGAATTCTATAACCAGCTACAATGCCACTCAAGGAATGAAGCTAGATACAACACATGAAGCAAGAAAATAACAAGAACTATCTTTACATGGCTGAGGAGTCCGCAATTAACTGAAATATTATGCAAGAACAGAGATTAATTCATCTTTGGAAAGCACTGAGCTTACAAAAAATAAAAGTTCACAGAAGAAAGTGCATAAAGGATGCACTTGACAAACAATAAATTTAAACTCAAAGAAGGATTCAAGTACAGAATCAAAGTAAAACACGTGGGTAAATCTAATATGCATTAGTTATAAAAACAATAATAACAAAAAATCTGGAGTGTTTTAAAAAGAAAATAATAACAATAGCATGATATATGAAAGGAATTAAAAAGAGAAGTGTGGCTGTGTTTATATTTTTACATTTGTTTTTACTTTTTGGTTGAGGGTACATATTAAAAATTGAAGTTGACTATGAAAAGAATATAAATATTTCCAAACAAGTAGATAGAGGGGAAAAAAAGAAAAACATAAATGCAATTAAAGTTAGATAAGATATGGGAGAGAAAAGAGATAAATAGTATCACAAACAAAAATCATAAAAGAGTAGAAAAATATAAATATGTAGGATCAAAATAAACACAGATGACTGAATTTGTTACAAAAGGACAGAAAGATTCTCTAAATTGGGTTTTAAAAGTCCAATCTTGTGCTATTTCCAACTGAAAACATCTAAAATATAGTGACACAGGGATGCTGAAAGTAAACAACATAGCAGATACCGGCTGTTTTGGAATATTTAAAAAAGCGTAATTCACCAGAGATATTCAACACACCTGAACTATTGATGAAACCTTCCTCTGGGTATATTTTAGGGTTATACATACGTATAAAAAGGATGATTAGGTTAAGCCAGTTGAAACCGTCCTTACTGCACGTTACCACAGGTCCTGTCCCTGAGCCCCGTGTCCCCTGTGCTTTCTCCCCTCGAGACATACTGCCCTCCCCTGTGTTACAGGCTGACTTCTGCCTGATCATGTTGTCTACGCCTGCAGTTTCTTCCTTAGAATTTTGCACACTGATCTGCTCTTACTACTTGGACGTGAACTCAAACATCTCTTCTTAAAGAAAATTTAAATGGCCAAGTCATCTTCTTTGCCATCGTTATGATATACTTTCTTCACTGAATGTCTGAAATGATCCTGTTCTATTACTTTCTTTACTTGGCTATTATTGGCATTTACGTCCATATGAAAAACATCTTGTTCTCTTCCTCATCTTTGTCTCCAACCAGTAACACATATAAAGCAACTCAGTGTGTAACTGAATGAACAGATTAATACCTCTGCTATAATGGGCTGTGCGCCTGTTGAACTCGTGAAACCGCAACGTACACAGGGATGGAAACCACATCTGCTGGTTGAAATGGGTCAAAAGGTACGAACTTCTAGTTTTGAAATGAGTAAGTCATAGGGATGTAACGTCCAGCACGGCGACTACAGTGAATAAAACTGTATCGCGTATTTGAAAGCTGTTGAGAGAGTAGATCTTAAAGTTACCACGTTCTGTAACTATGTGTGGTGGTCATTTCACACTATACACAAATACTGAATCTCTGTGTTGTACACTGGAAACTCCAGATAATGTATGTCAGCCAAACCTCAGTAAAAAGTAAGTCAATGAAAAAAAAAAACAGGAAGACGTTTGCACTTTTGTGATGGAAGTCACATGAACCAATGACACAACAGGGCAGCTTTCATGTCAGCATTAAGGCCTAAAGAAGAGAGAAGAAAATGCTCAGGAGGGAGAAAAGTGCAGGAAATCAAAGGGATCTGTTACTGGGAGAGTGATTTTGAAAACTGCGAAGACATATCTAAGGACACTGGAATTGAGGGAGACACAGTTGGATTTGCTGTAAAACTTGGTTTAAAAATTTGGAAAGTAATAGTGAAAAGCAATAGCAACCCTCAAGAGTTAAACCAGCCAATTTACACACACAGTGTGCGTCCAATTGTCCCACAAAAGGAGCAAATATCTCACGAAATTTTAAAAGCCATGCCCAAGCCACATAGACCATGACTTGGAATGTTGTGGAGTTTCCAGAGAGCCCTTAGACTGCTCGCATCTGGGTCGTCTCATGGAAAGCTCACTCCAGAGTAGCTGTAGCGTGCTTTTCAGGGAGTAGTTCTTGTAAACCTCGATTGTGGTTCAAAGAGTCTGCACCTGGGCAGCAGGGTGGTGATTATAGATGTTTCCCTGTTTTGTCTTAAACTCTGTTACCCTCAGGTAGTCACATCACTTACCCGTTCTGGCAGCCACCCAGCTAGCAAATTAAGACTGTGTGGATTGGTAGCTCTGCTGCTGGTCCTCGGGCAAGTTCTCTGTGCAGTCCTCATGTGTAACGGGAACAGTGACAGCGCCCACCTCAGACAGTGACAGAAGCCCAGACAGCCTGGCGCGGTGTGAAGCGCTCAGCTAACAGGAGTGAGGCCAGCAGGGATGGCGCTTTTTGTCCACTCATGAACACCGCATCCGTAAGAGTCTGCCTTTTCAGGCGTCTGTGTGGCTTGTATGAGATTGCACTTGTGATTTTACTTAGCGTAATATCTTATTTGTAGCAGACAGTGCAATAAAATGCCTCTCTCCTTCCTGTATAGACTCTCCAGACACACTGTACTTCCTTACCTGCTCTGCAGACAGCAGGTAAGTGGTCTGCCCCCTGACTGACTGGGGAGATCACATGCGGTTGAACAGACCTGGGTTATAACTTACTCAGATGGGCGAGCTCTCTGATCTCCTTTCAGCATCTCTGCCTTCAGAAGGATGGATTCACTGCTGAGGCCCAGGAAGTAGGTCATAGATTAGGAAATGCATAGTGGACTATGATTTTCATTTGTACATACTTTGATTATTTAACATGCTCATAAAGAATCTACAGCATTAATGTAGAGACGTGTTCCAGTAGTAAAACTGGTCACACTCTATAATTTGCTTCAGTTTTGGAGGGGGGAGTCTATGTTTTTTGATGAATTTAAGAATGAGGCTAAATTTTACTATCAAAAACAGACAACTTTAAACTGTTTTACAAACAAATTCATGAATGATAAACTGTCTTCAAAGGAAATTTTCAACTCATTGTGCTTATGAGTTACGGTTACAAGCTGTGTGGTCAGGCCACTGAGGATGCCTGTGCCCATGCTCTCTGGCCAGGCCTTGCTCCACTCATGTGACCAGCCAGTCCTCTTAATGACAGGACTTAATTAGTCCCTGGCCACTGATGAGCCACCTGACATCAGGCGCTAGCCTCCCCCTCCCCTGAGGAGCCCAGACTGCTGCCAGTAGGGGTGTGTTGCCCCTGGACCCTCTGTGTAGGGTCCCCTGTCCCTTAGACCCCTGATGTCCCTGTTGCCGTCTCCAGGCTGGGCAACTACAAGGCTTGCAGGTCTGCGAGGTACAGCCCAACACAAGCACAGGGTGTGTCTAAATCAACCTCTTTTCTGAGCACACACAGAATTCTAAGATAAGTATGTCGGGGCCACAGACAGCAGCTGTTCCTCAGATACACACCAGGGACGCAACGTCTGCATCTGGAATAATGGGATTTTCTGATGAATGAAAGGGTAAGAAGTACAATTTCTCTCAGACTTGTGATGTCAGGAAGAAAATTTTGTTCTAAACTCACGTGTCTTATGTCTGAACATATATATATAAGGCATACTACGCCATTTAAAGTATGGCATTGAAATTCTTTCTTGAATTATGCATATTTAAACATGAATAAAATGAAGGTTCTAAATTCCCTATCAAACCAATATAAAAAAGCAATGCCAACCAAAAATTTTTAAGAACATGCCCAAACCATCCTGTTCTTCCTGTGTTAAATACAGTCATTAAAACATAAGCATATGGTTTCAATTCTTGACATAAATTTCTTGTATGCAAACTTACGTAAGCATACGCCTAAGTATCAGACGTGTGGAGTTTGAAGCAGCAAACTCTCAGAACCTACAGTTTACAGGGCAGGGTGTGATGCTGGAACGTCACTGCTGGCCACTCCCAGGCTCAAATCCACATTAACTGCAGTTTATTCTCTGGCAAGTATAGTTTTAAAGATGCTAATTTCCTGATGGTTCTCATCTTTTCTTATTCTCCAATCATTATCAAGTCTCCAGATGTGGTGTTTTCTGGCAGACAAAGCAAAATAAAGTAGAAATGTATGAAATACAACAATGAAGCCTGGAACTAGGGATGGAGTACATTTAGCTGAAAGGCCAGAGACAGAGATGAGGTTAAAAAAAAAGAGAACCAATAGAAAATAGAAGGCTCTTCTGTGTAGTTTACAGTTTGTGAAGTGTAGCTTAATAGGCGCATTTCTGAGGGAAGTGAAACATGGTAAGACCACATGAGCCAAACGGTCCTCTGTGTGTGTGTGTGCGTGCGTGCGTGCGTGTGCACATGCACACATATGTGACAGGACCTCTGGCCTTCAGTCATGGAGTATTAACATTTCCTTGAACTAATATTATGTACCATGTTTATCCCCTACTGAATAAAAGGGAATATATTCTTTCCATGAAAGTTTGATCAATATAGAGCTTAACATGTTACCTAGTATATTCAGACAATTGAAATTTCAGGTTGGAATTAAAGAGAGTGAAGCAACTTATTTGAATAAGACCATCGGTAGATTATACTCATCCAGTATAACATCTGCAAACACTGAGTCTTTTATCTTTCAGTAACTACTTTTATGTATCTAATAGGCAGTGGTTAAATGGCCAACTGTTACACTTCACACTGAGTTGCCTTCAGATTCTGTGTTGTGCCGTGTCAGGAGAACTTCATTACCAGTCTAAACCGTGCCTTTCACCTCTGGTCCAGCCAGTAGAGAATCCGTTTAGTAGTAACTGGCTCAAGCAAAGCTGGTCTACGAGAGAGGCTGGCGCCTAGTGGAGGAAGAAAGTCCTCGTAAAGGCTTCTCGGGAGTCAGGGTGAGTGACTCAGCAAGAACTAATCTTGGGTGGGAGAGGAGGGTGGGCGGGGGCAACCGTCCTGCACTGAGCTGAACAAAGCCCTCCGGGAGTTTTGGCATTCCCCAACCCGAAAAGGGGTCCGGTTTCCCCTGGGCTGCAGGGACTTGGTGATGTAAGGCTTGGGAGGAGGGGTTCATCTCTTTAGGGGCCAATGTCTTGTTTACACTCGGACAGGGAAGAAGAAAAAACCTATGTAAAATGTCAGGCCTAAGCCCTGACATTTCTTCTCGCATTAAAAACAGGGTTAGGTTTAGCATTAGATCCAGTTTTTCTAGAACTTCAGAAGCTAGAAAACCACTTCTTAGAGCTAGATTTTTATAAAGTCCTTAGAACAAAATTCATGCATAGTGAAAACTCTATAAAAACAGTAATAACTAGGAGTTGGATAGCATGCTTCTCTTTGAGAAAGAAGCTTTTAGTGCAGATTTAATTGACTTCAGTGGTTAATATTGAATATACTGACAATAGTTAATAATTATGGAATCTTTATACCCTATGTGGATTATCTCATTTAAGAGATGAAGAAAATGAGGGTTAGAAAGATTAAGTAAATGGCCTGAAGTCTCACAACCTAGCAGTAGTAAAGTTAATGTTTAAACTCAGGTTTATTTCATTCTAAAACTCAAGACTTTAACCTCTACAGATGGAGTCTCTTCACAATGACTCAACCCCCCCCAAATTTGGCAGAGCCATGGGGATAAGAAAGTCACTCCAAGTTGCTACCTCACAACCTAGTGAAAGAAGCAGATTTATAAACAAACTTATATTTATAACATTTGTAAACTTTGATGGATTAAAGCCATACATAGAAGTCTGGGAGCTTGGAAGAGGGAGTGATGAATTGTGACTGCAGGGCCGGAGGAACGTCTCATGCCGAGAATATTTTCAACATGTTCATGGTGTCTGTTTTAGGGGAGTAATTGATTCAAAACTGGTATCTAGGGAGGCATTTCCTGCCGTTGACTTACCCTTCATAAGGTCAGGCTGTGCAATAAATGTTCATAAAGAAGGTTTAATAGACAGAAAGTCTTGGTTCTAAAAACTGGCTCATGTGTTTAAGAGTTGTTGCCAAATCCCCACCAGTGGGCTTGGGTGGACGGAGAACGTGTGGATGGGCTGGGCTGCTGCGGATCCGCTGTGACCAAGTCCCTGACAACATGCAGATCAAACACTGGGACGATGGTGGCCTGGACACACACAAGTTCCTTTTTACCACCAGTGCAAAATTCTGTGCGTGTGTGTTTTACTTGCTATAGGAGGCGTTTATTAACTTTGCAATTTGGAAAACATCATATCATGAAAATTTAAATAGAAGACCTCACTGGAAGCAATTTAAAGACAATGCGGACTTGAAATGGAACAGGCAGTAGAGAAGGACAGAGGGTCAGAGCCAGTGAAGAGTAAGTGAATTCTTTGATGCACCCCCTCGTCTACGCCCGAACTCTGTTCACCGCTTCCCGAAGGTTATCTCTAACGCTGATTGCCTGTTTGCATCCTGTCCTTCTGAGAAACTGGAGCTGCAGCTGTCCTGTCGGTGAACATAAAATGCCTTGTGTGGAATCAGGTCCACTGCCGGGGACACCGGGGTCTGGAGCTAATTACAGACCTGCACCCGGCGGAGGAGGGGCAGGCAGAGCAGAGCTGGCATCTGAATGTTAATCAGCGTTAATGAAAGCAGAACTTGGAGAGTGATCACCTTGACAAATGGCACCCCCCCAGTCCTTCATCCAAAGAGCAAAGTTGTCCAGGCTGTTCAAAAGTGAGTCACAGTATGTCCCCTGTAGTTTTGTGTAGAAATGAGGAATTAAATGTATCAGGGGAACTGAAGGCTCGCACTTTCCAGGCCCTTCTCTTCCTGGGGTGGGAGGCCAGGAGAGGGAGGGAGACGGAACCCCAACATCAGGCAAGGGCGTCTCTGTGCTGAGCACAATAAAGACCAGCAAGAGCAAGCGGCCCTGTTCAGTAAAAACCCCCCTAAAGCAAGAAGCAGACTTTCCAACAGGGAGCCCAAGCCCAGGTCCGGAGGAAGGCTGCAGGGTCCTGGGACTGGACTCTGCGCCCTGGGTGACACTGGTTGAGAACTTTCCTTGCAGAGGAGACCTGGGAGCGAGGGCACCTCCTCCCAGTGTACATTGGAACCCAGTTTCTGTCCTCCATCAACTCACTCAGTGCCTGCTAGAAGCTTTGGTGCCATACATGCTTTTTACTAGTTTGATCTGTCATTTTCAATAAATGCTCGTGTCATCTTCACAGGTCCCTCTTTAAAGACTCTGCTCTATAGTCTGCACTATACATACGCAGGAGGCTGATGAAAGTCGAGGGAAAGGTAAGTAAAGTAAGAAAGATAAGTGAAGTTCTTTCTTTACTTACCTTTTCTCTCTCCTCCTCTGAGCCCAGCGATAATGCCTCTAGAATGTGTTGTGTCACAGAAGTTAGAGACATATAAATAAAAAATTACCTTCCAGTACGATAATCCTGATCATATGGTGAAAACTGCAAAAAGGAAAAGTCCTGCAGGAAGAGGTGACGTGACCCATCGCACGCCACTGAGGGGTAGAGATTTTAAACGACAGCTGCTGAGTGCTTAGCTAACGTTGTACCTGTTAAAGCTAATTATTCTGTTCCTCAATTTCTTTGACTCCGGTTAGAGTACAACGGGGAGGCCATTTCAGGGCACCAGGCTCGGGGTGGGATGGGGAGATGCGCCAGGTTAGAACTGGGGTTCTTCTCGCCCCCATGATTACAGAATGGGAGACAGAAGCGGACACGCTAACACCAAGTAAACTGAATTTTGAGGGTGACAGGCAGTTATAGTTAGGTCTTAGTATAGAATAGATTACATTTTCACACCATGAATTTTTTTTCGGTTTTAGTATGTGTGCTGCTTATTAAAGACTCCCAATCTATTAAACCTTAAGTATATAAAACTTTTCCCCCTTTACCTTCCAAACGGAAGGCTGTTGAACTTAATTCACATTGATCTCAGCTTCATAGTTTGAATGTTTTCATCATGTTTTGATTCCTCAGTGCCTCCTGCAGTTTACTTGCTGTATCACCACCAAAGCCAGGGTCTCCTTCGCCTCTGGAAGCGGGATGAGGGTAGTGCCTGACTGGGTTCTTTTTGTGCAGAGGTGGGGAGGCCACGTCAAGGAGCACAGCCGAGGGAGTGAGGTGCAAAATGACCACAGTTCAGTGTGTTTAGTGAAAAACAAAGTACCTACGCATGAAGGGGTGACGAGGTTCAGCGTTTCTGTTCTGCCTCGATTCCACAGGGACGTAACCTGGGGAGATTATGCCCCCCAAACCACACGGCCCTGGCCCTCTGCCTACCGCGGCCGCCTCAACAGAATACGAAGAAAACAAAATAAATCAGTGTCAGATATTACAAGTTTATGTCTATACGTGATACAACCGTAAAATGAGGGGTATATAAAATGGTAAAATGTACTGCTCTAAGAAGGAGGCAACACAAAAATAAACGTGCAGCACAGTGACGCGTACTCACCTTCTGTATCTGTATGACTTCAGTAATCACCTTAATCAATACATATTTTTTTGTTATGTAAAACCACCACCAACCGAAGAAGAATGTGACACTGAGGCAGAAGGGGTTCAGACCAAACCTCCCCAGAACGTGCCACTTTGGCGTGTGAATTACTTTGCGCCAAAGACGGTCAAGGCCCAAAAGACTCAGAAAGAACCTTTAACCTCCCCTCTAGCTACCTAAAAGAATTGAGACTGGAGGCCTGGCTCAGACACAGAGCTATGAGCACAGGTAACTTTCATCTGAATGACCCATCTGTACGGCAGGGCAAACATCGAATTAGCAAACACCTGCTCTTCTCCTGGCCCTGGGGATCACCCTCCTCCCGCTGGAAGGACGCCGTGTACGCCTCCACTGCCAGACCTGCCTTTCAGTCTTACAGGACTCCTGTGGCTATGAAGTTAAATTTATTTTTCTCTAGTTAATCTGCTTTATGTCAATTTAATTACTAGACCAGCCAGAGAACCTAGAAAGTAGAAGGTAAATTTTTCCTCCCCAATAAGACCATATAAATAAACAGTTCATCATAGCTAATAAGGCATTTGCAACCCTTAACATAGCTGAAAATTAATATTAATGAGATAAATCATGGTGTATTCTAACTGGTTGCTGATTCTACTTTACTGTGTAAATCAACACTGTCCTCCAACAATCCCTGACAATGTTTTAAGAAATTTCAGTGCATTCTGGTATTTTTTGTTGGGTGCATCTGACATTTCTGAAGTTATCAGTTGAAATGTTAGCCCCACCTTCAGAGAGGAGTTTCCTGTAAGCCACCATGAAAACGAGAGTCTTTCAGTTGCTGGAATCAGAGCCCAAACTGTGGTCAGAACCCACAGTTACCAGTACACTGGTTCCAACCCATTTCCAACTTACCTGTAGTAACACCTACTTTTGGCTTAGAAATTTAATTGTTATTTTCTTATTCAAATATTCCATAGTTTTAGTTCCTTCCATTGAATGCCAATATTTATATATATATATGGTTATGTTTAAATAAAAACTTTATGCTAAAGGCATATTTTCTGATTATTTCTAATCACAGCTATAAGTAAGATTAATTTTACAAGATCATGACTCAGGTGATTTTAGTGTGTGGTTGTCAGCATTTGTGGGGGGAAACAAAAGATGAGAAGCATGTCTCCTCTTTCTGATTTGTGACACTGTCACAATTGCCCTCCTTTTCTCAATCCTCTAACCCTTGTCCTGTTAAAAATTTTCTCATGCAAATAACACAAAAAGATAACTATCTGTTAAATATAGGTAGTCAGGTTGGTCCTAAGAGTGTTCATTTATCTTCCATAAGTGACTAAAATGGTTCTGCTTTTTCTTGCAGAAAATGTTATCTTTAATCATTCATCCACACTGATAAAATTCCATTAGTCTAGGTTTGAAACTCTGCCAAGTAGCTCTTGCTTTAAAAACACACTATTTTGGTTTGCTTATAACAGAAAGACAATTATCAGTGTTAACATGGGCAAAAGGTAATGTATGAAAAGAAAAATGCTCTGCCTGACTATGACAGTCATTGTGGTCACTCCTTCAGGTATTTATTGGGTGCCTATTACATTCAAGACTACTGCGCTTAGAGAGAAGGATTGTCCTAACAGTGGGGGACCTTAACACCCCACTTACGTCAGTGGACAGATCATCTAGACAGAAAAGTCAATAGAAACACAGGCCTTAAATGACATATTAGATCAGATGGACTTAACTGATATTTACAGAGAATTCCATCCAAAATCAGCAGAATACACATTCTTCTCCAGTGTACATGAAACATTCTCAGGAAATAGCACATGTTGGCCCACAAAGCAAGCCTCAGTAAATTTAAGAAAACTGAAACAATATCAAGCATCTTTTCTGACCACAATGCTAATAAGGTTAGAAATCAACTACAAGAAAATAAAACTGCAAAAACCACAAACATGTGGAGGCTAAACAGTATGCTGCTGAACAACCAATGGATCACTGAAGAAATCAAGGAGGAAATCAAAAATACTGAGGGATGAAGGAAAATGAAAATATGACAATCCAAAACCTACAGGATGCAGCAAAAGCAGTCTCAGAGGGAGAGAGATCATAAAGTGGGGCAGAAATAAATGAAATAAGAGATTAGAAAACAACAGAAAGGACCAATGAAACCAAAAGTTGGTGTTTTTAGAAGATAAACAAAATCAATAAACCTTAGCCAGACTCATCAAGAAAATAAGAGAGGGGGCCCAAATTAATAAAGTCAGAAATGAAAAAGAAGTTACAGCCAACAAATACAAAGGATTCTAAGAGGCTACTGTGAGCAACTATATGCTAACAAAACAGACAACCTAGAAAAATGGACAGCTTCTTAGAAAGGTACAATCTCCCAAGATTGAATCAGGAAGAAACAGAAAATACGAACAGACCAATTACCAGCACTGAAATTGAATCAGTATCTTAAAGAACTCCCAACAAACAAAAGTCCAGGACCAGATGGCGTCACAGGCAAATTCTACCAAACATTTAGCTGTACCAAACCATTGCAGAGGAAGGAGCACTTCTAAACTCACTCTATGAGGCCACCATCACCCTGATATCAAAACCAGACAAAAATATCACACACAAAAATTATAGGCCAATATCACTTACGAATATAGATGCAAAAATCCTCAACAAAATACTAGCAAAGCAACACCAACAATATGTTAAAAAGATCATACACCACGATCAAGTGGGATTTATCCCAGGAATGTAAGTTTTCAGTATTTGCAAATCAATCAATATGTTATACCACATTAACAAACTGAAGACTAAAACTCATATGATCATCTCAACAGATGCAGAAAAAGATTTTGATAAAATTCAACATCCATTTATGATAAAAACTCTCCAGAAAGTGGGCACAGAGGGAACACACCTCATCAAAATAAAGACCACATATGACAAACCCACAGCTAACATCATACTTATTGGGGAAAAACTGAAAGCATTTTCTCTAAGATCAGGAACAAGGTAAGGATGCCAACTCTTGCCACTTTTATTCAACATAGTTTTGGAAGTCCTAGCCACAGCAATCAGAAAAAAGAAAGAAAGAAAAGAACTCTAAATTGGAACAGAAGTAAAACTGTCGCTGTTTGCAGATGACGTGATACTATATACAGAAAATCCTAAGGAGGCTACCAGAAAACTACTAGAGCTCATGAATGAATCTGGGAAAGCTGCAGGATTCAAAATTAATATACAGAAATCAACTCCATTTCGATACACTAACAATGAAATAAATAGCAGAAAAATTAAGGAAACAATCCCACTTACCATTGCATCACAAAGAATAAAATACCTAGGAATAAATCTACATAAGGAGGCAGAGGACCTGTACTCTGAAAACGATAAGACACAGATGAAAGAAAATGAAGACAAAAGAAACAGACGGAAATACATACTGTGTTTTTGAATTGGAAGAATCAATATTCTTAAAATGTTCACACTACCTAAGGCATTACAGATTCAGTGCAATCCCTATCAAATTTCCAGAAACATTTTTCACAAAACTGGAACAAAAATTTTTAAAATCTGTATGGAAACACAAAAGACCCCGAATAGCCAAAAGAATCTTGAGAAAGAAGAATGGAGCTGGGGGAATCACGCTCCCTGACTTCAGACTACACTACAAAGCTACAGTAATTAAAACAGTATGTTACTGGCACACAAAAAAACATAGACCAATGGGACAGGATAGAAAGTCTGTAAATAAACCCACATACTTATGGTCAATTAATCTATGATAAAGGAGGCAAGAATACACACTTGAGAGAAGACAGTCTCTTCAATAAGTGGTGCTGGGAAAACTGGACAACTACATGTAAAAGAATGAAATGAGAACATTTTCTAACACCATATACAAAAATTAACTCAAAATGGATTACAGACCTAAATGTAAGGCTGGATACTATAAAACCCCTAGAGGAAAACATAGGAGGAACACTCTTTGACATAAATTTCAGCAATATTTTTTTTTTGAACCAGCTCCTAGAGTAATGGAAATAAAAGCAAAAATAAACAAATGGGGCCTAGTTAATCTTAGAAGCTTTTGTACAGCAAAGGAAACCATAAACAAAATGAAAGCAGCAGAATGGGAGAAGATATTTGCAAATGATGCAACTGACAAGGAACTAATTTCCAAAATATACAAATAGCTCATACAGCTTAATATAAAAAAAAAAACCCAATCAAAAAATGAGCAGAAGACCTAAACAGACATTTCTCCAAAAAAGACACACGGATGGCTAACAGGCACATGACAAGCTGCTCAATTTCGCTAATTATGAAGAGAAATGAAAAGTCAAGACTACAGTGAGAGATCACCTCACACCAGTCGGAATGGCCATCATTAAAAAGTCTACAAATAATAGATGCTGGAAAGGGTATGGAGAAAAGGGAACCCTCCTACACTGGGAATGTAAATTGGTGCAGCCACTATGGAAGACAGTATAGAGGTTCCTTAAAAAACTAAAAATAGACTTACCATATGATCCAGTAATCCCACTCCTGGGCATATATTCTGAGAAAACTATAATTCAAAAAGACACATGTACCCCAATGTTCACAGCAGCACATTTACAATAGCCAAGACATGGAAACAATCTAAATATCCATCAACAGATGACTGGATAAAGATGTAGCATATATACACAATGGACTATTACTCAGCCATAAAAAAGGATGAAATAGTATCATTTGCAGCAACATGGATGGACCTAGAGATCATCATACTATGTAAGTCAGACAGCGCAAGACAAATATATGACATCACTTATATGTGGAATCTAAAAAAAATGATACAAATTCTATTTACAAACCACAGACTCATGAACATAGAAAACAAACTATGGTTACCAAAGGGGAAAAGGTGCTGAGGGATAAATTAGCAGCTGGGGATTAACAGATACACATTACTATATGTAAAATAGATAAAAAGCAGGGACCTACTGTATAGCACAGGGAACTATATTAAATTTCTTACAATAACATAGTGGAAAAGAACCTGAAAAGAAAAAATATACACATATATGTATAACTGAATCACTGCCGTACACCTGAAATTAACCTTGTAAATCAACTACACTTCAGTAAAAAATCCTTCAGAAAAGGATTGTTTGATGAGTGTTTTCAGCTGTGTTTTGTTAGCCTTATAGTTCTTAGTTTCTGCTTCCTCCTGTCTTGGTCAGCTGTTAAGTTTATTGCAGCCAAATATTTTATCTGAAGGGTAAGTTTTTATTCACTGAGGACATAAGAGAAGGAACAGGAACAGAACCACAGAAGCCGAGGGGTCTGCTGCTGATCAAATACCTGCTCTCTGTTAATCTGACTCACCTGCTAAGCCATTTCCATGCAGTCCATCAACCACTTATCATTAGGAAAAATACCAAGGCCACACAGTCACACTACATCCTCCCAAATGGTTTCTGTGTCAAGGCTTCTGAGACAGGAGGGAAAGGGACGGACGCAACCGCTAAATACATGAAGGAGGGGTGCCACACTTAGGGTGTGATAAAAACCAGCTCGAACCAGCTGAAGCCAAGGTGGCATCAAGAATAGTCCGGTCATTGACCTTTAGCTTACTCTACCTTCATTGTAACACTGAAAATCACTCCCCCACCTCATGCCATGACTGTTCCCAGGCGGACCATAAAATGCCAAAAAGCAGGCAGTGGCCCATTTCCTGGGAAATCCTCACCCTTCCCCAAAACAGCAACACTATTCCTGCCATTTGTCAGCTGATGAAATTACTCAGCCCATGAAACCAACCACCTCATGCCCCGGGGCCGCTCACTTCCTGAGACAGTCTGCATTTTGCCAATGGAGTATGTCTCTCCAGATAAACTGGCCTTCCGTTTTCTTGAATTCTTTCCTGCGCGATGCGAAGGACCCTCACTTGGAGGTCGGTCCTAAGGACTCCTGCGGGTCAGGATGTGACATTTCCCGCCCCCCCAGCAACACTTGGGCTAAATCTTAAAACTCTGAGTAGGGTTATGTAGCATTTCATGACAGAGCTGGAAGTCAGCATCCTGAACTTGATAGTCAGTCCTATTACGGCAAAAAGATGCTAAGAAAGAAGTCCTTTGTCAAACATCATGAAACAGATCCCGCTATTAGCTACTTTTAGTTTCTGATGATACGTTCTGTGTAATGTTTCAGTCAAGTCCCTTGCCAAAGTGGTGATCTTTGGAATAATTTTTACCCTGAGTCTATGAAATGATAGCCTTAGAAAAGCCACTGTAAATCTCAGAGATCCCACTGTGGCCAGTGACAGCTGATAAATGGAAATGGAGAAACAGCAAGCAATGCAAATACAGATCAATTTGCCTGAGTCCCGGTCCCCCTGCGGGAAGCTGACGGCACTGCTGCCTTATTATGGTCACTTGCCTTGCAAACTGTAGATCTCCCCAACACTGTTCTGCCGGGTGATGTGATGCCAGTATGCGCTGCGAGGAAGAGAGATGGATTTGGATAACGTCATTGGTTCAGTCAGGCTTGTCTGAAGCTAAAAAAAGAAGAGAAAAAGAAAAAATGTGTCTTAGGCCTTATTTAAAATATTAAATTGAAATCTGCTCCCTTAAAAGTTCAGGGTTAAATGGGGGTGACAGACGCTGTTCTAGTTACTGCCGAATCTACTGTTTTCCCGGTATCACTTTTTTAAAAAAAGTAAAGTCACGATTTAAAAAATACAAAATGAACACTTGTAAACAATTAATCTCACACATTAATTAAGAAGGGAACAAAAAGATGGTACCACTGATTCCGAGGAGAATCCAAAGGGCATACAGCCAACCAGGAATGCTGGTAAACAGAGCAATAATCAACTGTATTCAACCAGACAAGTTTATTTGCATTTCTGTGAGCAAGAATTATCTGTGTTACTACCAGCTTTTGACAATTTATTGAATTGTAAAATAGCTCAAACAATGGAGGTGCAGGCCCTTTCAGATAGATTCCCCAAGTGGTGCCAAACACAAGACACCAATTTTTTACCCATTTCAACGTCTTAGTTTTTCCTGACACCCACTCCCAGCCTTACCCAATGGCTTGTTTCTTAAACAGATCTTTCTCTTTGCTCCTGTGATAGGATGTTGTACATATCAAAAAAAAGTTTGCCTGAGAAGTCCCGTGATGAAAGTGTGGCCTGTTTTCTTACTTGCAAGACACATTTTAAGGTTAGCTACAGAGATTCACACAACATCACATCAGGTGATGCTCAGGCACATGACTAGTTCAAAGAAAAGAATACTTTGCATTTTCAAGAGAGATTCATATTTATTGGTTCACGCCAGGTTTTTTTTTTTTAAAAACACCTAGAAAGGTTTTATTTGCCTTTAGCACACATTTCTCTGATGCAGTCTGAGCAAAGGTTCACTTTCTGACAGACCATGAGCGATCCTCTAATTCGTGAAATCTCACATTTCCCATGTTTACCACCTGACTCTCGGCAACCCTGGGAGCTGTGCAGAGCACCCGGGGGGCATCGTGCTGCAGTCCCACTGGCTCACTGGGTGTACCCTGCCACGGAGCTCCCCCTGCTCGGGTAGTCCTCACGGTCTGCATCCAGTGTCACTGCCCTTCCCTGCTGTCCCGCGTCCCTGCTACGCTACAGCAGGCCCTCGAAAGCCACAGTAAACTAGGAGGCTCTCACAATTTAACAGAACGTGAAGCCATAGAGCTTGAACGTATTTATTTGATTTCACTGTTTTAGTAATAAAGCATTTCCTGAACTGCTGTGTCTTGCCACAAAAGTGTCCTCAGTGTATTTAAAAGTCTGGCCCTGTTGAAAAAATATATATATTTTTAAAAATGGCTTCAAACATAGCAACATTGCAGCTAATTTTTCTATTTTTCAAAATTTGCTGCATTTCAGAGTTTTCCGTTTTATTTTCAAATAGGTGTACTAACCCAGCCACATCGCATGGTTGGTAGGCAGAGGGCACTGGGGAGAAGCCAGACTTTTGGGTTTCAGTAGGAAATCTTTGGGATGCTCGTTAACCACGCGCTTCCCAGTTCTTCCGCAGACCTAACAGCTGGAGAGTCTCTGTGGGTGGGTTATGCATGCTAAGACACAAAATATCCTTACACACTCATACCTACCACCCACTGTCAGGGACAGAGGGAGGCAAGGCTCATTCTGTGAAACTGCCACTGGGACAAGAGGGCCTTCACCTTTCTCATGTGAGGCGTAAACTTAAACACGTAAAATCTTTAATTAGTGTCAGCAGTGCCCATCAATAACATCAATTAATTGATAAAATGAATTTCGTATTAATCGTACTTTTGTCTACTCTTTATTCATTTTTTCTAGTATAATTTGTTTATTACCCAGCAATAGATCATTAAACTCCTTCCCCAAATTTGATGAAGGTGCTTTTTCTTCTTCTTTTTTTTTAAAATTCTGGGAAACATGTTTCTTCCCAAATGGTCAGTCTTAGGTGTCACAGGAACACAGTAAACATATTTTGTTTTCTGGAGACAAGTAACTGGAAGCCACTTGAAAATAATTTCCATAAAATTTTCACCTGACTCACCCCATGTTGTTTTTTTCACCTCATTTCTCCATTTCTCTCTCCTCACTGTTTTCAAGTTCCAGGAGACCTTTAACCTTCTATTTCTTCATTTGTGTCTTTAGTTCTTTTTTATTTTACTCCAGTATTTAATTGCAGAAAAAGAGAACATTTTTATTTGAGAACTTGTATGTGGATATTCTTAGGATCGTTACTTTTCATATTATAATCATGCTTCAATTAAAAGCATTACGATAAAAATATAAAGTGCTATAGTAATTTCTCAACTGAAACAGCAATACATCAATCTGACCTGGAGTATTTTTAGGATCATAAAAGTATGGATAATTTAAAAAACACAGGGCAGTTTATACTTAAATTGCAAATAAACGTCTATATAACATGTGTAAACGAGAAAATGATACTGCGAGATCATTTCTAAGCAATTACTATATTTTAAGAAATCAAATAAGATGGATACATGTCTTCAAAGTTATTTTATTTCTTCTCGGTGAGGATCTGTCCTGATGATTCTTTCCGCTGCCTCAGTCAGTGAGAAAATCCTCAAGAAATGGTAGAAAATTCTGCAAATCATACTGTCAGAGCTCCCACAGTAGTTAACTGTGGGCTCTTCCCTGCAGGCAGCAGTCATGTGCTTCTCCCAGGATCAGTATTTTGGAAGGATGCTTCAGCTTAGATGCGGAAATCTACTAGATCTAGAAGCAGTGAATTCAGTTCTTGAGACACTTGCCAACATTTCTTGCTATTTTTGACTCTCTCAGTTTCATTCTTTTTGAAACAGCGGTCAGTTCACTGGGATACTGAGCAATGAATCAGAAGTTGCTTATTAGCATCCGGAAAGAGTAGCAGTTACAGCTCACCCTCTGGATAGTAGTAAAAACACTGGTGTTCCATTGGAGCTACAACTGTGCATCTCACGAAGCCCACATCCCAAGAATGATTCTGGTCCAGGTGCCCTATAGAGAGCCAGCTAATACCGTCATCTGAGCATCATACAGATGAGACTTATGCTGCCTTCCAGTGGATGAGAAAAGAGACCCCAAAGCAAAGAACCTTATATTTAGAAGACTCATAAAGGTATAAACAAGGCTTGGCTGCTTCTGCTCGCCCCCATGTAGACAATAAGTAAATAACACATGCATTTTTTAGTTGTCAACATCTGAGATTAGTGTACCATCTCAAAGAGGAGCCCACCGTTTCCTGCGGCAGCCCGCTTCCCTCCCCTTCCCTAAACTGCAGAAAACGCTGTTGAAGACGCTCGGCTGAAAGGGGCTGTCAGGAAACAGTCCTTCCTGGGCTGCTCACAGTTCTGCATTTCCTGTGACAACTTTCGTTCCTTACTATCGTTCAGGTATGTGTGCGCAGCACGCAGCCATGGGAGAGAGAGTGCCTTTCTCCAGGGCAGAGGGCAGATCTGGACATCATCAGGACAGGTCGTCACTGACGGCTCTGAGGCTGCCATGGTATGAGGAAGCCCAGGTGGCCTGTGCGCACGTCACTCAAGGTCTGACTCTGGCTCAGAAAGTCTAGTAGTTCTCATCTTACAGACGGAAAAGCAAAATCCAGAAAGATGCAGGGGTTTGCTCAAGGTAAAACCCCAACTCCAGAACCTCTAACAGAAAACAGCTCTCTTAACTTGAGTCCACTCTCTTCAGACTCGGATGCTGTTCCCTCCTGGGAAAACCGAGCTTCTTCCCAACATAACACAACACGTGACAACCCGGCCTTGGGTTCTGAGAGGACCTCTGCCTTCAAGCAGCGGAAGGGCCGGGTGACCGATGCGATTTTTGTTACCAGCACCTCATCCTTTTACCAAAATCATTATCCCGGTGACCTTCCTGCCTTCTGCAGTTTCCCTCTGTTCTTCTGGGACTCTCTTGGCCCTCGTGATAAACGATAAAAATGGTAATTTGTGTTCCCCATGTGTATTTAAAAAAAAACTGTTAAATTAATTTTCCTTTTGCTCAGTCTCCCTAATTATTGCCTAGAATTTTAAAAAGCATGTTAGCATTTGAGACACGAATCTATACAATTGGGAGAGGAGAAATTAGCGTTTATAGATGAGCATTCACGGGTCATTCTGTCTGTGCCCGGCACCGTGCACACTGGCCTCATCGGTGACCCCATTTAACGCCCACATAAACTGTCAACACACCGGCCACCTGAACCTTATAGACGAGGATGGTGAGGCTCTCAGGGCCATGTGACTTGCTGGCGGTGCCACACCGCCGAGCGACGTTCCCCCCTCTCTTCACAACTCGGAAAATAAATCATCGGACCCCTTTTCTTCAGATACGATGAGAATGACACCAATTGGGTCAATCCCACCGGACCAAGGCAGGGACACAAGTGCCTCCTTCCTGTGGTCGGAAAAGCACGCCCCGTGGGCGCGGCGGGAGGCGCTCGGGCCCCGCGGTCAGCGGCGCGTCCCCGGACACCAGCCGCCGCCGCCCCGCGCCCGCCCTCGGCAAGCTACCCGGACGTGTTTTAAGAGCCAAAGTCCTCCTTATCTGTACACGAGACTTCATACAACGTACCTTAACTGTGGTCATCAATACTTTACAAGGTGACGCTCTTAGAGGACAAGCACCGCGCCTGCCCCACCTCAAGCGCTCAGACCGCCGCCCGTGCCTGCGGCCGCCGCACAGGGAGCGGCTGCGCCTGCGCGGGCGTCTGCCCCCAGTGAGCGTCGCAGGGGCGTCAGGGAAGTTTTCAAGCTGCACTGTTTCTATTAAGCTCTTAGATCCTAAGATCTAAGTCTAAGAGCTTAATAGAAACAGTTAAAAAAAAAAACCTAGAAAGAGGAGTCTGACTACCGGATGGTCGGTAAGGGCAGGTGGGAGACACCGCTAGGGAGGGAGTGTGGAGTGGGTGACTGAGTGTGTGTGTGTCACCGCTAGGGAGGGGTGTGTGTGTGAACATGCCCCGGGTTCTTCCGAGACCCGAGGGGACACTGGGGGAAAGAGGCACTGGG